CTCCACGAAGTGCGCAACATGTTGCTTTGGGTTATCTTTACCGTCAAACTGTTGAAACTTCGGAGGTTGATATCCAGTAGGCATCTTCAACATATCGACCGTTGTAGTGTACGGCTTTGTATATGTAAGGGAGGATTTAGCAGCAACTTCATATTTGTTCTTAATGGTTCCTTCGATGAACTCCTTCAGTTGATCGATTGGAATCATCCCTTCAGATGAGACAAGGATAGCCTTAGTGGATGCTGCTTGTCTTGGGAGAGAGTCACTCTCTAGAACTTCTGGGAACTTGCCAGGTGTATGGGTGGATTCTTCTTCCATCAAGATTCCTACCTTGTCTGTTATCTTGTCAATTCTAGCCTCTTGATTTTGCATGTATTTGGTCAAGCCAGCGATTGCTTCCGTCAAGTTTGCCAACTGCTCCTCCATAGATGAAGTGTTTGTCACCATGGCTTGAGTGATTGTCATGGACGACGGAGACTAGCATGGATTTTCACACAGATTGATCCTTGACTGGCTCACGCTATGTGGTGTAAGTGGGGAGGATCCATCACTTGAAGCATCATCATCTTCCTTCACAGCAGAGTGCTTGGATCCGGAGAGGTCAAACAAAGCAAGAGTTTTCTTGATCTTTTCAGCAACATCGCTTCCTCCTTCAGATGCATTTGTGGAAGATCTTGCTTCTTTTGAGGATGAAGATCCAAAAATTGGGATTGATGCAGACGACACTTGGGGTGCTTGTTGTCCTAGAGAGCTTGCTTTCCTCCTCGTAACTGGTTCGAAGCTTCCAAAGGTAACATCGAGGATGCTTTCCATATCAGCATAGAACCTGGAGTTAGCAGCCTTAGCGGAAGTTGAATCGGAGTGGATTTTCTTTGAAGCCATTTCAATGTTCTTGAACTTTGGTGATTGAAAAGTTGAGATGAGAGGTAGAGATTGTCCCACTGGGCGTGCCAGAATTTGTTGACAATAAATTATGTCGAGAAAATAAAATCAAGACCGAAAAATATCGCAACAATTGTAGTATTTTATTTCGAATATTTGAGTGTTACAATCTCTATGAATCCTCTGATTCTTCTTTTCAGTAGCAAATAAATTTAAGGGCCTTTTAGCTTTATCTTGAATATGTACTTGTTGCCTCGAACGTTGATCTTTCTTGAGCTTGAACTTGATTGCTTGAACTTGATCTTGATTTGTTCTTCGTTCTTGAACTTGAGCTTGATTTCTTCTTCGTTCTTGAGCTTGAACTTGATTGCTTGACCTTGACCTTGATTTGTTCTTCGTTCTTGAGCTTGAACTTGATTTCTTAAACTTGAACTTGAAGCTTGAAACTTACAGAGGAATTTGCAGCGTTTGATCCACGAGCTCTTTCTTACTTCTTGTCATAACTTCTAGTGTTTTTTCTGAGTTATGAACAACCCTATTTATAGTTGTGGAAGGAAGGAGTCATGGTAAAAACAAACTCTTTCCGACCAATCAAATTGAAGTGTGAGATGACTGCATTTGATTGACCAGAACATGTCACTTGCACACGCGACACGATTTTATTAGCCTTTCAGTGTGACTCGACATGCCTTGTCATTTTGACACGTGGCATGGTCCTATTGGCTTTTCAGTTTGACTTGGCGCGCCACGTCATTTGACACATGGCACCAAACTAGGCCTCTAGGAAGATGACATATTGGGCTTAATGGAGTGGGCTCATCACTTTAGCCCAATTAAATGGGCTAGCCCAATGAATTAAGACTTATTTATTTAACCCACATGTATTGGACTTACATAATCAATTCAATTATATTAGCCCATAGTATTTATTTGGACTAATATATCTTGAATTTAAAATATAATCCAAATTATTTTATGGATTTAAAATTTATATGCCTACAGCTTTCATTAACATGCCTCTTTATTTAATATCATAATCTGTTATATCTTTTAATATTATTATATAAATCGATGTATTATTTTTTAATCTTGAAATAAATATTTATTTTATTTAAAATTAATACCCAAAATTATCAAATTGTTTAAATTTATTAATAATATTTTTAAGCATTATATATTTACTTTATTTTATTTTTAAACTATTTTATTTCCCTTCTATTTCTTAATATTAATATTTTGATTTTTTAAATTTTTTTTAATCTATTAAACTTCAGTTATGTGGCCTTATACACATCATGACCATTTTTTATCATACTTAAAAAAACTTTTTTATATCAAATTTAAATAAGTTTTATCCTTATTTGTTCTTTATGATAGAAATTTTGATTTTTTCTCTATTTGTTTCCCATTTTTCTATTGTATATTCAATACTTAATATTATTAACGTTGTCATATGCTTTTTATTAGTTTACTTGAATTTAATATCCACTTTTATCACATTCATTTTAATATTATACAAATAATAAATAAAAATTATTTCAATAGTAACTTTGACTGTATTGTTCATATTCTTAAATCTGAATTTTCTTATCATATTGAAAAAAAAGGTCCCATCTCAAATTCAAATATATCTTATTCTTCTATTTTCTCCATTGGACCACATTTCCAAAAATCATCTTATACGTTCAAACTTAACCTAGCAATACTCAATTCAAATATTAATCATAAAAATTCTAATTATTGCAACAATATTTTCACTATTATTTTAAGAAATATTTATTTATGTATAAAATATTTATTGTCCGAATTGTCAACATTAATATAACCTCATTATATATATATTTATATATATATATATATATATTACTATTTAATTATTTTTCCTACCATAATTGAATTATACACAAAATGTAATTAAAGGTACCTATGGTAAAGTATATCACAAGGTCAGATACAAAGCTTGTACTAAATAAAAAATTATCATTTCAACTTAAAATTAATGTGTAAGATACAAAATAAAAATTTAATTAATTCTTTCTCAAAAAAAGATACCTAATATAACTGAATTATACACAAATTTTTTATTAAAGATACCTACAGTAATGTATATTGCACCCAAATAAGGTTAGATACAAAGTTTGTACTAAATAAAGAATTACTATTTCAACTTAAAATTAATGTATAAGATACAAAACGAAAATTTAATTGATTCTTTCTCAAAAAAGGATACCTACCATAACTGAATTATGCATAAAATTTTAATTAAAGATACCTACAGTAATGTATATTGTACTAAAATAAGGTCAGTTACAAAGCTTGATCAATTTATTAAAATTCGTCCCTACCATAATTTATTTCGTCCCTACCATAATTATACAAAAAAATGTTAACTAAATTATACTATTAATAGAGATTTGTATTATAATTAAAAAATAGTTCTTATTGAACTACTACTTCCATTAATTATGTTTCTCACTTGGCTTAACCTCGTGCTTCACTACTCTTCTTTTAATATAATATAGATAAATCGATTTGACACGTGACAAGGCTGGTTTAATCACGTGCTGCTCGCGATTCTGTCTTCGTTAGTTTCATTTAACAAACCCAACAGGGCTAGCAGTTGAGAAATCAACCAAAAACGCCATCAGATTTGGTTGAGGTCACTGAAAGACAAACTAATTTGAGTGGGAATAGGAGTGGGCATTTGGCTGTTAGTAACTGAGTCTGTTTGGTTTTTAACAATTGGATTTGGCAGTAGTGGAATTTGTTGTCTTTATTCTGTTTTCTTCCCTTCTGATTCTTGATCAGTGTTCACATCTTATTCAAGTTTTACTACATCACTTGGCATCAGTTCTGTTCTTGTTTCATATGTTGGCCAGGGGGAGAGGGGCCCTCGTTCCTTTGCTTTCCTGATCTTCTTATCTCCAATCTGTTTTTAGTTTCCCACCTTCCTGTACTCATAATGATGTCTAAATAGACCCCCGACATCATTCCTCCCTTCAAGAATTTCTCACCTTACTCTTGAGAAGACTCGAACTTACAATCTCTTAGTTGGAAGTTGAGGTTGCTTACCACCAGAGCAACCCCTCTTGTCTTATCCTTCCAAACCTCAATATAATATAGTTAAGTATAATATTTTTTCTTGGTTAAGTGTAGGGGCAGAGCTACGTTGGGGGAGGAGGTCATCGTAATTCGTTAGCCTCGACAATATATATATATAGTGAGGACCCTTTAAATATTTTACACGAGCCTTTAAAAGCACAAAAACTGAACAGAGGCACTGATTTGTAGGAGTGCTTAAGTACCTACACTCTCTTGATGATCCAGGTCTGAATTTGGGCTCCTACAACTTATTTTTTTTCTTATGTTACTTATAACTAGAGGTGGACGCATGATTTTGAGTATAACGGTGCACCACTTTAAAAATAAAAAGGACAACCCGGTTCACTAAGCTTCTACTATGCGCTAAAATCGCTCAAAAGTAGGTTCGAACCTTACGTATTACATAATGTTAAAATTTCTGAATCTGCCATTACATTTTCCTGGCATAGTAGCATGTAATTTCAATATTACTTATAATAAATTAAAGGTGAAATATACTGGATTTATTGGTATGGAATATGGAAGTTTATCTGATTTGAAGTAGCTGATAAGCATTAAGTGATGAAAAGTGCTTTTAAGCAGTTACGTGTTTGGATACAAGTGTTGAAATTGATAATAAGTTGATGCAGTATTTGATATAAAAGTGCCGATAAGCTCTTTTTCTGTTAAAATAAATTAAATAACCTAAAAACTATTTACACTTATAAGGACATAATTTCTTCAAAATGTTAGATTACAGATCGATTCAAATATAAAATATTCTATTTGTCATTTTATTTTAAATACAATCGTGATTAGATAAGATAATTTTTATAATAAGCATATAATCATAAGTTATAATAATCAAAAAATTGACAAAAGTTTCTCAGTAAAAAAATAAACCTAAATAGGACTAAATATTTGAAGAGAAATAAACATTGTCTTCATCACCACAACACTTAGAAAGCAATACACCAAAAATTTGATATGTCCTCATTTATTACAGTTCAAAGATTAATACACAATCACATAAATACAAATATGCAAATGAATAGAGAATTTCTTTACCTTAAATAGTCAATAAAAATTACAGACTTGAAGAGGAGGGGGGTTTAGGTTGAAAAAATACGTGAGACAGTGAGTATCAATGTAGGAGTTTTGTTCTAAAAATGAATATTTTAAAGATAAAATAGTAAAAACTTTGGTCAAACTTAAAGTGCTTATAAGTTAAAAATTCATAAGCTAGGGGTGATTAGCTTGTGATTTTTGGCTTATTTTTTTAACTTATAAGCACTTGACTTATAAACACTTTTAACTTAATCAGTTTATAAGCTTAGCCAAACATCGCTATCAAGCTTCTTGGATGCCTAGGAAGGTGTTGATGGCTAAATAATATATGGAGTTGGCATTAGTAGAAGCCGATATTTAGAATCCAATTACTAACATTTGAGGTGAGCATCCTAAAATTTAGAACCAAGTGTTAACTTGACTTGAGTGACATGGATGAAGTTGGTCTATAACAACTACGGTGCCCAAAAAAAAGGATTAAAGGTAAAATAACAATAATTGTATCAATAATACACGCATTAATTAAGGCATGTAAAATAAAATAAAATATAAAAAACGGTTTTCATGCTATGAGACCACTATGGTTAAGTCCATGAAAAGAAGAATCAAATCCATTCGAGTTTTGCCTGTTTGAAGCTTCAAAATCACTCATATTGTTCACTTCTCCATTAATCTGCCACGGGAAAATCATTTCTTGATCATAAAGCATTCCCATTTCTGCATTCACATTTAACCCCATTATTTCTCCATTTTCAACTTGCCCCAAGTTTCCATCATTACCCTTCCCATAATACATATTATGGTGGAATCCATTTGAGGTTAATTCAAGAAAACCACCCCTTTGTGCACCAAGAAAATCATCATAGTAAACATTGCTACACATCATTGACATATCATTTTCTTCAATTCCCAAATTCCCACTTGCCTGTTTTTGGAGCTTAGCAAATGCTAGACTTAAATCACTTGATTCATAACATGACAATGGTGTAAAAGATGACAGTGGATAATTAGCACTGTTGGCAATGGACTCATGATCTAATTGGCTTTTCTTTGAGGATATTCTTTTGTTTTTTCTACAGCCACCACCAACTGGAACATTTCTTAGTGTACCACCTTTGGTCCAATACCTTCTACATGATTTGCAAAAGTATCTAGGTTGAGTGAGACTGTAGTTGTTGTAGTAGCAGAATTTTGTGTTGGTTGAGTCACATCTTGGACATTTTTGTGCTTGTTCTGCACCTGGCCTTGGTTTCTTTTCTTGCTTATTTGTGTAAGCCAACATGTTTTCTAGTGTTTGGCATGACATTTTTGTTGAGACAGCGATAGAAAACACAAGAATGATCTAATATATAATTTAGAAACTTTCAAGAAAACTAGAAGGGTTGATTTGAATCACAGAGAAAGCTAGATAAACTTAATTATGGCTTGCCCCTCTATGAAAAACCGTGTCGCTTCATTTATATAGAAAGAGAGGG